ACACACACACACACACACACACACACAAAACACAAATATACTGTATAATATACAAAAATTCTGTGCGTCTCCTGGGGGCTAAGCCCCCCTTGTCCTTAAAACCTAGTGACACCCCTGATAAAAACATATTTTGACATAAAATTTCATGCGGCAAGCTTCTTCTTGTCTCAAGTTATGACTAATATTCATAATCATATTGATATTTAGCAAACTTTTTACTGGCTCTTTACGTGTGTTTTGACCGAGCCAAATTGTTACACGTCCCTCCACATGTACAGCTTTCAAATTTTGTGCAGCTAGCAGCTTCCTTAATCACAGCTAGTGTCTCCTACCAGCGTGACGTGTCTGGAACACCTTTAAATGGAGGCATCCTAACCAGATGAACCACCTCAACTGGCTCCTCTCGATGTGGAGCAGTGGCTCTACTCCAAGCTCCCCCAGGTGACAGATCTCCTCACCCTATCTCCAAGGCTGAGCCCAGCCTCTCTACAAAGGAAGCTCTTTTAGCTGCTTGTATGGCTGACCATAGTTCAGGGTTGGACTGTAAACAGACCAGTAAATCTAGAGCTTTGCCTTTCGACTCAGCTCTTTCTTCACCACAACCAACCAAAGCAACGCCCTCATTCCTGAGGACGAGGCCCTAATCTGTCTCCTGCTCCATCCCACCATCACTCATGAACAAGACACCCAGATACTTAAACTCCWCCACTTGAAGCAGAGCTCCACCCCTAACCCACAGAGGGTTCCACCTTTTTCRGGTTGAGAACCATGGTCTCAYACTWAGAGGGACTCCCATTCCAGCTGCTTCACACTCAGCTGGGAACCGCCTWAGTGCACGRTGAAGGTCTTYATCWGAAGARGCCAACAGAACCACATCATCTGCATACAGCAGAGATGAGATCCTGTGGTTCCCAAACCAGACACCTTTCTCTTCACAACTGTTCCATGAGATCCTGTCCATAAACACTACAAACAGGATCAGAGACATGGGACAGTCCTGGAGTCCAACCTGCACAAGCTCGGCTTTGTGCCAAGAACACGACCACAGCTCCTGCTTTGGTTCTACAGGGACTGGATRYCTTTTAATAGCTACCCAGACCCTCCATACTCCTACAGCATCCCTGTCAGAATGCCTTGAGGAGCACGGTCATAAGCCTTCTGAAAGTCTACAAAACACATGTAGYCCAGAGAGGCAAACTCCCACAACCCCCTTAGCAACTCTGCAAGGGTAAAGACSTGGTCCACTGTTCCATGCCAAGAACGSAAGTCCCCCCAGACAACATAGCCTCCGGCATCACGGGGTACCCTTCCACCAAGTTGAAGAAAGTAATCAGTCATACATCTAAAACTAATCAAGTATTTAAGAAAACCCAGTTCAGGATGACWGCTACAGCAGCTGATCTTTAAAACACTAAACTTTCCAGTAATCAGTMGTATGGATCATTGTGTTATAAAGAGTTCTGTGATGTCTCAACAACAACACAACATAKTTTCCACATCTCTCAGGTGGTTATTTAACTGTCCTTAATAAGTAGTATTCCTCAGTACTGAGAATCCAAACAATGTTCCRCAGCAGCCCTGAGGCTCGATGTGCTGATAAAACACTGATGTACCAATCCGAACAAGTTGGGCCATGCTGAAGATAAGCCCTGTCACAAGTTCTCTGAAACCAGAGGTTGAARTGCCTCCACCTCCCACTTCCTATTTTACTCATCACACACTGTTGCAACCTGGAAACTAGGCTTCTATTCAGTAGTATTTTCATGAGRCATAGGCTTGTAGGTACAGTTACACATGTGTCATTATCTATCAAACCACAAGCTAATAAAGTAGATCCATCTGTGACGTGGGTCGTCAACGTGGCTCTTGGCAAACCCAGCATAGTTTTTGTTTCCTAACCTGCTGGAAGGAGAAACCCATGTCTCCATTTCAAGTGTTGCAATAAAAGCCTGGAAACAACTTACTTTGAACACCTGATATTATTTTATTTAACAAACAGGATTTAAATAATAAATCCACTCCTGCTGGTTATTTAAAGRTTATATTCCTCAAACAACGGGCTGAGGAGGAGCTGCTGCTTTTAAATCAGCATTATTTATTAATCATGGAATAATTATAATTATTTTCAGTCTTTGACTGAATCAGAAAAAAAGCTTTTACTTCTTGTTTTATATCAAAGCTTCTCAAACTTTAGACTCAAAAATCCAAATCTCCTTTCTATGAGCTCAAAGTCTGGAARAACTAATAAAACGCTTGATTGCTTTTTTTTTTTTTACAACCCATTAGTTAAAATAATAGTTCAGTTTGTTTACAAGTATTTGCTTGTTAGCTGCTCTGGTTTTTATATGAGCACTTTATACATTTATTTATATAAATCTGATTAAAAACAGATTTTTACTCTAATTAACACAGTAAAATATAAACACACCCTTCTGTGACTATTTAAAATAAAAGCACTTCTGGGAATTTTCCACCAGTGCACACTATTTTTAACAATATCAGTTTTTAATCTTATTTTTAACAGTTGTTCATAAAAGAACTAATTTATTCTGAAATGAGTCTGAGATTAGTTTTACAGTGTTTAACAGCCTGTCACTCAGAGACAGGTTAGAGTTTGGAATCAACCTAACAAGCATGTGTTTGGTGTTCAAAGAAAACTCACAAGCCAGGCACAACATTCAGTTTCCACACAGGAGGTGTGTGGTCTCAGGTAAAACAGAGCTCTAACCACTGCTCCCATCACTGCTGAATACAGTTTAACACAAGAGACACTTAAAAAATTAAAAGATAAGACCAGCAAAACAGTAGCTCGAAGCTGAAATACAGCAAATGTGCTTCAAATACCACAATATTTTTGAAGGATTTATTCATCTCTCTGTTCAATTCAACAGGAAACAAAACGTATAAATTCTGTAAAGTTCTGACATTTATGAACGATTCAAATAACTGAAAGAATGAAAAAAATGAGACAAAGATTCAACCATCCATCCATCCATCCAACTTCATCCATCCATCCATCCAACGTCATCTTCTGTCACCCATCCATCCATCTGTAAGAGATACGTGTTCAATATCGACTGAAGTCAGATTAAAACACAATAGTTAAATTAATTGATTTGCAAAAGGAATAAGGTCATACAACACCAGGATTCTGGATCTGATTGAGGTTTATTTGTCACCGGACTGACAAGCCAAACCACACTGAATGAAAGATAGGAAGTTCCCTTTTATATACACGATTCTTCAATGCCTGAGTTCGCCCCCTGCTGACCTACGGCTGAATCACAGGCATTCAGACAAAGACCTCACTCTAATGGTTTAAAAACGGTTCACTTATGT